AAAAAACCAAAAAAAAAAAAAAAAAAAAAGAAAAAGAAAGAAAGAAAAACCAACCAAACAAACAAAAAAGACCTAGTTAGAAACTAAGCTAAGGTCGAGCATTCATAATTAAGTTTCCTATTGTTATTTGAGAGCTGGCCATGGTACAGATAAAGGAATAGCAACACTATGGGTGTGATAAACACCAATGATTTGGGGTTCTTTAGATCCAAAGGAAACTCCAATTCCCCAAACTCCAAAAGGCAGTCCAGTAAGCTCAACAGGGACTACAGGAGCATTTCTGGTGGTTAGATAAAAACGAGCATTCCTCAGGAACTAAACTGATGCCCATCGACCAAAGGAGTCACTTCCCTTACCTCTGGCAGAAGGGACATATGGACCTGTGGTACCGACTAGTATACCAAAGTGCACAGCCCCCATGCTCCCTCATCATCACAAGTACCTGCTACACATTTCAACCCATGCTAGCACCCTAGTCCTTCTCACCTCATACCCAAAACTCTCCCCAGCTACTCATTCTCCTTATAACCCTTCCACGCTCACTTTCTCTTTAGGCTCTGCCCCTGTTTCTCTGTTTTCTCTATTCCTATCCCCCACTATGCTCCCTCTCTCAGATAGCCCCGGCCATGTTTGTATTTCACTTTCCCTCTGCTCTGGACTCTTCCAGAAGCCTCTGGCTGTTCTCTTATATCTACAATAAACCCCTTTCTTAAGCACACTAAGGAGTGGTCATGTCAGTTTATACAAGGACTTTGACTGGGTAAACAGAAGGATTGTTATCTGGTAAACAAGCCTTTAAGCAGGTTTCTGTTTACCAGAAATGCAGATCTCCCTAAACAGGGTTCCAGGTGGTCAGAAACTACCCTTAGTCCTCCAAGAAGCTCCCTAGATCTTTCCCCAGAAGGTCAATGACCTCTAGCAAGGGCATCTAGTTCTAGTGAATCCCAACACCCTGTATTAGCGATCCCCACCTGACATATAACATCTGTTTGCCTTTCCACAATTTGTTCTCTCTGCACCCCCACCCAGTGGTTTTAGCAATTTGATCCCCAATAAACCTTTCTACCCACAGAGCAGTCTAGTAGTTTCTCTGCACCATCAGTTCTATTTGGTGTTGAAACCTAGGACTGACCCAGGGACCTTTATACCATAGCTAACTATCTCTCCTTGCCTCACACTAAGAGCAGTCTGTTCCGTCTCTGCCCTCTCCCTGGCTTGCTGGAACCGCTGTCTCTCTCTCTTGGCTCCTGGAGCCTACCCCATAGAGTTGTACAGGTAATCAGGCAGCTTCTCTCTGCCATCCCGGGGCCGTACAATATTGGATTCCCCACTCTGGCAGAGTTCCTGCTTGTGACCCTTCCCCTAACTCTCTCCCACCTCCTCCTCACTCTGCTTCCAAAGGATGTCTTCTCTTTTTTTCAGCTTGCTCCTGCCTCTAACCACAAGCTCTTCCCATTCAGAAGTAACCTCATGACTCCTCACCACCTCTATTCTCTATCCATCCTTGAATTCAGCCTGCTGTTGTATTGCGAAAGGCTGGCCTCAGTGTAAACTAAATAATCAATCTCAATGGCCAAAAAACGGCATGCTCAATTTCAGATTCTCACTTCTGCCACACACAAGAAAGAATCCCTTCTCTGCTCTAGTCTCTACCTCATCACTGAATTCTGTTTGTAGGGATTCAAATGTCTTTGGATATGGATGATATTAACAATTGCCACATGCTGTTCTACTTTATTAAAAAGGCTGACTCTGGAGCTCAGATTTGGCCCCCCTCTCCAGACCCAAGCATGCTTGTTTGAGTTTCTTCCAAAGTGAAGAGTCCAAGAATAAGAATATAAAAATGTAGATCCCAAAAATAAGTAGAAATACATAAGTATCAAGTTGTAAGCTAGGAGAATAAGAGCATCGGCAGCCTTAATAGTGGATTACTCTGCTTTATAACCCATAGCTCTATTTGTAAGGTTGAAGCAGCCCTCTGCAAACTTAGGTTGGTTCTGCAAACTGAGGATCAGCCTTTAGATACTCCGCCCCCAGCCACTCATGACCATAAATTGATGTGAGCTGAGTTAACTTTTAAATGATGGGATGTACATGACTTTTGAATTTTTGGTTTTATATTGTCCCATACCCTTCCCTGCTTTGCGAAACTGGCAGTGTCAGGGGAGGTGCAGAGCCTTGGTAAACACTATCAAGGAATGCCAGGGAAGACAATAGATTAAGTACAAACACTAGTTTAACTGAAAAGCTCTGTTAATGGAAAATGCAAAGAAGGGCAATTTGTAACTGAGTTTTACCTTGAGATTGTAAAAAGTCTTTTGTTATTGCCTAATGCTTGCTATAAAAGGAGTTCAGAAACTGGTCTTGCCACAGCCTTACCAGTCCATCTCTGGCTGTGGTTATCAGCTAGCTGATAAGCTTTTTGTGCCCCATGGAGATTTATTTTTCAATTATTTTTTTCCTGGAATAAAGTTTGCTTCTAGATTATTAGACTTTGGTGGTCTGTCCCCATCTTTCCACAACTCCCATGGACCCAACACAAAGTCTCTGTCTTGGTCAGGCTGGCCATCTAAGTCTGTGACAGGGAGGAGAGCCAAACAGAGCACAGGCAAACACCCTATGTTGAAACAGTAAGAAGTAGTCTATTCCCAGCAGGGGCTGCTGCTGCTCGTTTCAGCCCTTTTCTCATTTGTTTCCCAGCTCTAAAAACGACAAAGTATAATCATGATGTTTAACTCTCTGAATACACCCCCAATATCTCTAAAACTTTTGCTAAAGTATAAACTTCTATATCCCAGGATTTGTAATTCACTGGGTGTGGTTTAAAAGATCTGTAAAATCTGTAACTAAGTTAGCTTCAAACTTGTAAAAGAAACAGTTGATGGTTAAAAGGAAAAAAAAAAACTATACATAGGTAATTTGCTACAGCATGCTTGTATGGAACTTGTATTCAATTCTTGTTTAGGAAAATAGATGTTTTTAAAAAAGAAAAAGAGGCAGTTCCTGATGGGCTCACCATGGAGTAAACAGCACCATGGCCTGCCGCCATCCTGACTGATGACCTCACCAGGAAGGAAGCACCCGTGTGTGCAGCAGCTGTCATCACTAAGGTTAAAGAGAGGGCACGCTATGGGACTTCACTATTATCTTGGTTAAGGTGACCGCATGGTATACACCAACTAAAGCCACACCAATAAAGCCCTCTGGATATCACTGCGTCTCCTTTTTCAGACTAAGGAGGCAACAACAGATCTCCAAGATGATTTATTTAATTTTATTCTCCCTACATTAATGAGGCAACAGCAGACCTTCAAGATATTTTGGATCAGGATAAATTTTTGTACGATTTTTGCCATGAGAGTGGAAAGTAACTGATAAGGATAAAATCATGTACAAGGTTAGGGGAAGTAGGACTTAACATTATTTGATCGTTACAGTTTCTAAATTCCTAAAGTTATAATGATTACTCAGGTGTGCTTTTTGTGGTCTGATCTTGATCAAGTTCTGGAATTGACAAGATTCTGAGGCAGCTCAGGGATTGGTGGGATTTCGTGTTCAGTCACATCTATTTGGCGCTAACCAGTTCCTCCACCTTCTTGCCCAGAAAGCTTGGTGAGGCCTCACTAACTAGACCACTTGTGCCAGCCAGGGTTAAATGTTAACTGAGTCACTGTTCCCTGTCGCCAAAGCTCAGGCAGGATTAAATTCAAGGTAAAGCCTTCCTTCTCAGCCCAGGGGCCATGGTGGACTGCTGTGACGAGCTTGAAGAACACCAAGTTACAATTCTAATGACTTCTCTCAAATAGAAACAAAAGCGGGGGCTGTGTGGCCAGAACAGGGTTCCCAAGGTCTAGAAAACACTAGGACACTAGGCACAGCAGTTACAGGAGGGTTAGCAAGCTCTACAGTCACTAATTAATAGTTTCCCCTTATCAGGTCGACTTTGTTTGTCCGGAGAGCTAATCAGGCATGGCTGGCGATAACACGGACACAGGAAAACCCATACCTTTGAGTGAGGTATAGTGCCACATTGCAGTGGTCCAGAGAGGTGAAGGCAAAGAGGAGCAGGAGTTCAAAATCATCCTTGGAGCCTGGCAAGGTGGCAGACACTTTTAATCCTAGCACCTGGGAAGGCAGAGGTAGCTATGTCTATGAGTTCCAGGCCAGGTAAAGCTATACAGTGAGACCCAGTCTCAAACAAACAAGAAGCCAAAGATCCAAGAGAACCCGGAGCCTCTGAGTACCTTGCAGTCCTTTCTGTCCCCAGGGGGATTAGCAGCTACAAGCTAAGGTGGTCTCAGGTCAAACTAAGCTTAAGTGTTCCACACCCTGAAAGTGACCTTCATCATCCCCTTGCAGCACCCTCCACAACAAAGGGGCTGCAAAAGTCCTTTCTGGCAGGTCTCTCAAGCCTCTAACTGCGACCATTGGTCAACACCTGCAAAGAAAATTTCAGACATTAAAGATTTCTTAATCTGATAAAAAGTTTGCTGTTCCAGGAGTGCGACAAAAGCCAGGGTGTAGTGGCGTCTGCCCACCTGTGAGCCAACCCTGGGAAGGAAAAGGCAGGTGGACAGTGGGGAGTTTGAGGCCAGCCTGCACCTCACAAAAACAAAACATCAGTCAACTGACTGGCCAATCATTACTATGGTGTTCAGTTGACTATTTACTACAGTATGAATGTAAATACAGAAAAAAATGCATTTGTCTTCAAGACCTAGTCCTAGCAAGCATCAGAGAAATGCTCAAACAGGGTATGATGGTAACCTGTGACCCCAGCAACAGGAAGGCAGAAGCAGGAAGATCAGAAGCTCAAGGTCAGTTACTCTAAGGTACAAAGTTTGAGGCCAGCCTGAACTGGCAGAGATCCTGTCTCAGGAAATACTAAAAACCCAGTTCTGCCTTCTCTCTCCTGGAAATGTATAACCCAAAAGATGACTCTGGTATTACCAAAAAAGAGCAGATAATAAAGAGTAAATAAGGCTGGGGTGGTGGTACACCTCCATAATCGTAGCACTGGGAGGTAAAGATTGACTACTATACATAAAAAGTCCAAGGCCAGCCTGAGCATCCTGAGACCCTGTCTCCAAAAATGTGGAAAAAAAGAAAGGCAGAGCAGGAAATGCGGCAGCATCACTGCCCGGCAGAGCACAGGCTTGTGTCACATTCCCTAAGCCTTTTCCTTATCCCTGAGATAATCTAAGCGGTGCTTCTCAACCTTCCTAACGCTGGGACCTTTTCACTTTTCAATACAGTTTCTCATGTGCTGACCCCCAACCATAAAATTATTTTCATTGCTATTTCATAACTGTAATTTTGTTACTGTTCTTATGAGGACCTGAGTTTGCAAAGTCCATTTTAAAGAAGGGGCTTCATCTTAAGCCATATAACGAGCTGGGGGGTGGGTGATCTGTTCCAAAAATGTGCTGCCATATCAGAAATGTGAGCAGATGCCCTAAAAATGGCCAATTAAGAAGACAGGGAGCAGGCCATAAAATTTAATAAAGTCCAGATGTTCTTGGGAGGCATCCTGTCCTTGAAGATACCTTGGTCTGCAATGGGTTCAAAAACTAACTACCTTATCCTATGTACTCCTTACCCAGTCCAAGACAACAAGACAGGAACTCCCCTGATTATGACATTTCCCCTTTAAAAGTTCTACCCTCCCAGGGCTCCCTGCCACACTGATTCAAGTAGACTGACTAGCCAACAACCCTAAGGGATCTTCCTGTCTTTGCCATCCCAGCAAGGGATTACAAATGCAAGCCACCACCCCTGTCCAGATCAAAAGCTCTTTCAAGGCCAGGATGGTGGCGGCGCACACCTTTAATCCCAACACACTGGAGGCAGAGGCGGAGGATCTCTATGAGTTTGAGGCTTGCCTGGTCTACAAAGAAACCTCTAGGACAACAAGGGCTTTACATAGAGAGATCCTGTCTTAAATTTTTCTTTTTCTCAAAAGCTAAGCCATTGCACTAAAGGTTTTCAGAACTGCTAGACCGCTGATGTGGCAGGGAACTGAGAGCCCTGGGCCTGCTCACCTAGGACGAGAAGGCTGAAGAAAATGGTCATGCCACTCGACTGTTCCTCCTGCTGGGCCTGCTCCCCTGTCTGCACCGGAAGGATGGGCTTGGCAGGTGTCGGGAGCACCAGCCTCGTGGTGACACCCAGGGTCGTGTGAAGGGTGAAGTTGAAGTTTTCATGGGTTGTGTTGGAGAACCTGTTGGAAACACACAAGTGGGAGTCAGGTAGAAGAGGGTCAAGGGATCAAAACACACCTTGACTGACAAAGCCCTGAGGGTACAAACAACACGTAGGTCTTCAGGAGGGAGAGAAGCCCTGCCTACAAATGCCCCAGCCAGTGACCTCCAGCATCTTTGACCTTGGTCATCCAGAGGTCAGGAAGAAGGGGGTCAGGCCTGTGGAGAAAGAAATGCAAAGGCTGGGTCTAGGCCAGGGATGTAGATCAGCTGGTAGGGCTGGCAATGAGGCCCTGGGTTTGATCCCCAGTACTGTACAAACCAGGTGTGTGTGGCACAGGCCTATAATCCCAGTACTCCGTAGGAAGAGGAGAAAGATCAAGAGCTTGAGGTCATTTTCAGCTAAAAGACCAGCTTGGGCAACATGAAACCCTGTCTAAAAAATCAAAAATGCTGAGTCTAAGGTTACCAAACAGTCAGGCCGGAGGACCACAAGTTAAAAATCTGCAGGGGGTAGTGAATTCAATGTCAGCCTAAGAAACTTGGTGAGACCCTTTCTCAAAATAAGTAAAGGAGGAGATGGCACAGTGGCACCCGCCTGTAATACCAGCAGAGGAGAACAAGTTTGCTGCGTACCGAAACCGTCTCAAATACATGACTAAGAACAGCTCGGCCGTAGAGGGCTCGCTCAGCATGCACCAGGCCCTACAGGTCAATCCTCAGTAGGCCCCTTTCTTTCCAATAAAAATAACAACAAAAAAGAAGAAATGCTGTCTGTCCTTTGAACTTAGTGAGGGTAGAAGGGTATGGTAACCCAATGCTTGCAATCCCTGCACTTGGGAGACAGAAGCGGGAAAGTTAGGCGTTCAAGGCCAAGGGCCCCTTGGGCTACATAGTGATGATACACACAGTGAGCTGAGGATCAGCCCTGTGGGCTACATGAGACAGTCTCAAAAAGGAAAAACAAAACAGATTCCCAGAGTGGGCCTGGGGTCTCCCACACCCCAGGTTCTACACTATTTACTGGGGACCTTTCCTGTGCTAGTCACATTTATGCTTGGATTCTGTATGCACTGTATGCACACACCTTGTGTGTGGCCTGCAAGGCTCTACAATGTAGATCCCAGTCCTTCTGGGATTATGTCCATAAACTGAAAAAGTCACCCGAGTTTGCCCAGCTGTTGTGCTCAGAGTGCCCTAACCTACCCTGCCAAACCCTTCTCAAATGTCAGAAGGCTCGAGTTGCCAGCTCTGGTACACTGCACACTACCCAAGGCTTCGGTCCTTGCTCTCCTTGGAACGCAGTAGTGGCCCACCCAATTGGGAGTGTAACAGGTGGTATCCACCGAGCATGGCTTCAGTCCAGCATCCAGTCACACAGCAGATCTCTGACCAAGATAACTGACCAAGCTTCAAACACACACTTTGAACCATTCAACCCCACATTATCTCTTGAACGGCCAAGGCCTACTTTAGCATCTGGGACAGCAGGCATACACAGTAAGTGAGTTTATGACTTGGTACCTGACTGGCCAAGAGATACCTGAAATTAATGATCCCAGTACAAGTTCAGTATCATTTAGAGGGGTTCCTTGTTCATTTTCAGGAGCTCATTCCAAAGACGGAATTTGTAACATACCGCAAGAGACGGCGTCCTGCCAAGCAGGAAGATGGACTAACAGCGGCACATGCCCAGAGAGGGGGAGCTCGCCTCATTATGAAAGATGCTCTCTACACTGTCAACCAGCGGCCAGCGCCTCACTCCAAAGTACTCGCCCTCTCCGTTTTCTTTCCTGCCTGGGATGAGGACTGGGGACTCACGGAACGACAGCCCCTTCTTGGTTCAGGCTTTGGAACTTGTCACCCTTCCTATTTCTCCTGGGGACTCAAGGTTTGGGTCACAAGATATTTTTCTTCCAGGGCTGACTCCCCGCCCCTCACACTACACATTTTCCTTCCAAACATTTGGCACGGTCGGAAAACACCCTGCCTACACAAAGCCTCCCACGACAGCAGAACGGCCGCTCCCTGCGGGCAGCTCCTGATGCCCAAAGGCGAGCGGAGCGGACAACCAGCAGCTAATGAATGAATGAAACCGTCTGGGGACAGACATCAACACTGAGGCTGCAGATGATTAAGGAGGACGCGAGCCGCTTGTGTGGCAGTGGGAGGACTTCCTGGAGGAGGAGGAGCGCCTGAGACACCTCAGATAACCGGAAACTGGGAGCGGGATCTGTGTTCGCGCTTCCGCCCGGCTATGCTACAGGCCTGCGCGCGGAGGCCGATGTATGACCTCGGGGAGGCCGCAGGGCCCGAGTCCTCATCCCGCCCCCCGCCGACCCCGGCCGGGTGGGCCAGAGCCACTCTACCCGGGCGCCCGAGGCCCGTTGTCGCCCGCCGGCCCGGCCCTGCCGCCTCCGCCACCCGGAGCAGCGCACTCACTCCTCCTCCGCCATCTTCTCCCCCATCCTGCGAGCCTCCGAGACTACCGAGTTGGACGCCGCGGGGCTAGTGGGGCCTGCGGTTGCTTCCGGCTTCCGCTGCGGGCGGAGGCGGGGCTTAGCCGCCCAGGGAGACCCTCTGTCCCGTCGTCTCGGTGGCCCAAGAGTGGGACGATCTCGAGGGTTTTCTCTACGCCTGTTCAATGCGAGCCATGTGACGATCTGGCTCCTGAACTGTCCGACTTTTTCCGGTCACCGGGCGGGAAGGACGTGGGGGAAACTCTTCTGAGATCCCGGTGACTCAGCTGTGAGCAAAACCGTCCTCCCCGCTTGGAATTCACAGGGCTAAGAATAGAGGGGGACGGACTTTGTGGGCATCCGGGCAGGCTGTGCCAAGGGGCGCGTCCCGAGTGAACTTCAGTTTCCCCGTCTGTGGGAGGAACAAGCAGAGGGCCTTTGGAACATCCCTAGTGTAAAAGTGAGTGCAGGGGATGTACGGGCTGGGCATTCACCAACCCCTACGTTGGTTCATTGGTTTGTGTGGTTTTTGTGTAAATGGGGAGATCCAGGACATCTTGAGGGCTTTGATTCTTGCCTTCCACCATGTGGGTCCTTGATATTGAACTCTGGGAGTTTGGCTTGGCAGCAAGCACCTTTACTCATTGATCTATCTCACCACCCAATAATTCTTACTAACCTGTGTATGTAGTGTGTGGGTGCATTAGGAGGCCCGAGATTGTTGTCAGACGTCTTCCTTGCTCGTGCTCCGTCTTAATTTATGAGACAGAGTCTCCACCTGCACTGAAGCTGGAGATCTGATATACTGGCTGGTCAGCAACTTACTGATCCTCCATTCTGGGTCTCTCTAGCCCTAGGGTTCCAATTGACAGCAGCTCTGCTTGGCTTTTATGTGGGCGTTTGGGATATGAACTCCAGTGTTTATGCTTTCCCAGTAAATGCTTTACCCACTAGGCTTTAAACACGGGGTAACTTTAATTTCTGTGACAGCCTTACTCTGTTGACTGTAGGGGAAAAGGGCTAGCCAAAGAAACCCACTCTGGCCCTGAAACCAGAACCAGTAAAAGAAACACACCCTGGCTCTGAGACCCAAGCCAGTGAAAGAAACGCTTTAGTCCTGAACCCAGAACCAAAGAAACACACCCTGACCCTGAAACCTGTGCCAAAGAAACACACGTTGGCCCTAGAAACAGAGTCAGTGAAAGAAATATGCCCTGGCCCCAAAACTGGAGCCGAAAAGCTTTAAAAGGCCGGTGAAAGAAACACAGTTTGGCTCTGAAATCAGCCATCTCCACCCCGACCACTAAACTAGCCAATCCCTCTTCTCCCTGGGAAAACTCTGCTCCTAAGAAGCCCTATATAAGCCCTGCGCCTGTTCAGTTTGCAGCTACTCTTCTACCCTGGAGAAGACAGCCAGTCTCCTGGTTCTTCCCTCCCAATAAATCTCTTGCACACTTTCACTGGGGGACCTTCTCCTAGCAGAGCAGTGTTGCTGCAGAGCCGAGCTGTAACAACTTCACTGGGGAAGCCCTGTCCTGCCAGAGCAGAGCTGCTACACTGAGGAAGCCTTTCCCTACCTAGAGCAGGGCTGTAACCGGCTATGCTTACTGAGCCCTGACTGCCAGAATACTCTTCCACCTGAGCTGTAACACTCACTATTATTCCCTGGCCCCCGACTGCCAGAATACTTATAGCACTGAGTATTCCTTGGCTCCTGACTGCTAGAATCCCCTTCCATCAGAGCTGCAACATTTATATTGCCCAAGCTGACCTGGCACGACCGAGGTCTTTAAGGGACCTTCTCAGTATTGGTTCTCCAGAGCCTCTCCCACCCTGAGTAGTAGTCCTTTCCCCCTTAATAAAGTTTAATGAATCATAATAAATAATTGCTCTGTCCCCTCCTCCAAAAAATGATCCCTTTTTTTTCCTCAACCTCTGAGCAGTTGGGATTTGAGTGTGAGAGCCCCCCTCCAACTCAGGCAGCTGTCTGTCTATTGTGGTGCAGAGATGGAGCCTCAGGCAAGGTGGGTAGGTGGTCTCTGCTGAGCTAACATGCCTGAGTTCTGAGAAGAGACCTGCTGTATCCTTAGGTGTACCTTCTGAAGTCGAGGCTCAAGGAACAAGATACACAGATATTAGGCAAAATAAAGAAAATTAAATGGGCCTGGGAAGGCCATGCAGAGTGTAACTGAAGCCTCCCACCGATTCTAAGAATTCTAACACAATTAATGTTTGCCAGGAAGGCATCCCACATAGGACATTTTCAAAGGTAAATGTTAAAAATAGGACTGCCTCGTGAGCTTAACTCAGTTCCTGTGACACTCATGGTAAAGGAGAGAGCTGACCCCTGCAAACTGTCCTCTGCCCTCCACACGCGTGGTATGACACATGTCCGCACTCACACTGGGCTGGCTAGTCTTACGCCAAATAAGCTAGAGGCATCTGAGAGGAGGGAAGCTCATTTGAGAAAATGCCTCAGTAAGATCCAGCTGTAGGGCGTTTTTCAAATCACTGTAGATGACGCCATCCCTGTGCTGGTAGTCCTGAGTTCTGTAAGACGGCTCAGCAAGCCGGTAAGCAGCACCCGCCCATGGCCTCTACATCACCTCCTGCCCTGACTTCCTTGGATGATGAACAGTAATGTGGAAGTGTAAGCCAAATTAACCCTTTACTCCCTAAGTTGCTTTGATCATAGTGTTTCATCCCAGCAAAAGAAACCCTGACTAGGGCTGGAGAGATGACTCAGTGGTTAAAGGCATTGGTTTCTTTTCCAGAGGTCCTGAGTTCAATTCCCAGCCCTAGTATCTCACATGGTATCTCACAACCATCTATCATGAGATTTGGTGCCCTCTTCTGGCCCGCAGACATACATGCAGGCAGAACACTATACATAATAAATCTTAAAAAGAAAAAAGAAAGAATATATGTAATTTTTACAAGGAATTTAAAAAGACAGTAAGCCAGCTGGGCAGTGGTATGCATTGTTAATCCCAGCATTTGGGAGACAGTGGCAGGCAGATCTCTGAGTCTGAGGCCAGCCTGGTCTACAGAGTGAGTTCCAGGACAGCAAGGACTATTACACAGAGAAACCCTGTCTTGAAAAACCAAAAAAAAAAAAAAAAAAAAAAAAAAA